GAATGACGAGTGCTCTGCCTAGACTTGGTTTGAATAAAAAGACAAGGCTTATCAGGGTGTCCTTTGCCTTTTTCCCCATCAGTTGAGATGACAATAGAATACTTTTGCCCAGTTTTGAATGATGGTGAGGCTTCTCTCTAATGTGGCATTGCAACACTAATGTGCTATTTTCTCCTGGTCCCACTGGTTATATAGGCAGATGTTGATATAAATTTGGAACATTCTATGAGGCCCATAATTGTTCACTGAGCAGGGGCATTTTGGAAGCTTGTTTCTTCTTCTCTTGCCCCTGCTTCAGGACCCTCTTTTTCTCCTTTTCTTCTCAATCAACCTCTCAATCAAAAGACTAGTGAATTTAAATAACCTCACCTCTTCGTCTTATCTCCGTCACTTAACCTCCTGCATGTGTCTTCTGCTTCCACCATCCTGCAAAACCGATCCTTGTCGAATTTCACATGGACCTCCCAACTCCTAAATCCTACAGGTACATTTTCAGTTTTTTCTTTATTGATCTCTTTGTGGCATCCCCACTGTTGATTGACCCCTCCACCGGAAAACTCTTTTATCCCTTGACTTCCATAACACTCCTCTTCCCTCATGATGACTCTGTAATCATCAGACCAACCCTTTGTTTTTACCAACTTTCTGTCATCTGCCTATCATTTCAATATTAAAATTGCCTTCCCAAATTCTGCCTTGCCTTTTAAATCTCCCTGAGGAATCTCATTTGTGACTCATGTTTCAGCTGACTCCTTATTTGCTTATGAATCCCAATCTGTATCTAATTATGACCTGTCTTCTGAATTCCTGCCTATATTTCTGATGACTTCCAATCACATTCAACTACATTACCCAAACTCAACGTTTGAGGGGTCTTTAATTTCTTTGAAAAGCTTATGAAAGAGAACCACCTCCCAAATGCACATATGCCCAACATTCTGCCTGTGCCTTCAGGGAGTTCATGGACTTCTGGAAACTCATCTATGCCTTCTGGATCCAGGGACTCCAAGTTAATAACTCTTGGACTAGGAAAAATAGGATCAAGTCCCAATGCCTTAGCTTGGAATCAGGGATTCTTCCATCTTGTACTATGATATGGCCACTGATTATCCATTTCCTCTTGCTTGGATACTGTCCATTGTGCTGTACCATAATTTTTGTACATGTTTGCTCTGGTTTAGTCTGGATTCTGATTTTGGAAATTCAGTCTTGACCTATTGGTATCCATGTTCTTTAAATGGCTAGGCTTAGAGGGAAAATCACATTTACTAATTCCATTGCTTTTGGAGGTTTCAGCAAAATATCTGGCTTTTCTACCTTCCTTTCAGAAACGTTACAGTATACTTTCTCATGCTTTATCCTAGAGTACCCCACTCTGCTTTAAATATACTATTGGCTTCCTCATACCATATATCATACCATATTTCATCTATCTCTACTATAGTGGATATACAGTACATGTTAGTTCATGCATAATACCCTGTGCATGAACTCAGGGAGTTTGATCTCATACTTTGGAATATCAACCAACCACCTCCAGGCAAAAGTTAACTTCCATTGCTTAGAAGAACCCCCATCTTCCAAATGGGACAAGACTTACAGCTACCCTAACATCACTTGACCAACTGCCCACATGTATTACAGTAGAAATCCTTCACCTTTGTCTCGCAGGTTTCATCTGTTACTGAAAAAGTTTAAATTTTATAATTCAGTTCACTCAATTGGAAACCTTTGTCTATAGTCTCCTTCTTTCCTAAATTGTTGTCACCTTGGGTGACTGTAAAACACTGGAGAAGTGAGTCAAATGAATCCGCAAATCCAATGGGTGCACAGGTGGTTTAATTTTCTTATAGTCTGGTCTGGCAGCTTGATTCTTGGAGCTTCTAGAAAGATAGATGATTCCACAAAGATTCAAGCTTTCTCCTAAAGAGTGAGCCCTCTCCTGATTGGCAGGATGGGGCTTTGAGAACAGCTCTCCATTCTAAGCTTCTGCAGAAGCAGAATTCCTCTAAGGCCTCTGAACGACGTTCGCCATAACATTTGTGGGTGGACCTGCCCATTCTGTTCAGAACTTAGTGCTGGCACAGAACCATTCCTCTTCCCTAGGCCCAGTGCTGGAGGCTAGACTGGCAACTTCCCCATTTACCTGATTATTCTCGTCTATTTTTGTTGATTTACTTACCTCTTACCGCTGTTAACCTGGCCAGATCCACAGGATCCACAGTAACCACCCCTTCCTTCCTGCCTCCGTGCCAGACTGTGCCTTGTTTTCAGGTCCTACCTGTATTTCTTGTCTACCCCTGTTTATATTCAACCACTGCCTGCCTTGACCTCTCTTGCCAGACCCAGCCAGATCAGGCACGCCTCACTTTATTTTAGACATGCCTTATTTTATATTAGTAACACAGATAAACTTTAAAAACTTATAAGAATTAACAAAGTTACCCTCTAATATCTCTGTATTGAAAGTAAATAATCATAAAGGAGTTTTAAAATAATTTTCCACAGAAAACTCCATTCTTAACTAGATTTTAATGAATATTGTTCCATATACTTTCATTAGGGACAATGTACCCACCAGTGTTCTTTTATAGCATTTTATTTTTTACTTTCCATCATCATCATAAAAAAAAAAAATTTGTAGGCTTGGTAATGCATTATCATTGCATGTCAAAACAGTTGAAACAAACATGTAACACAGAGTCTTTAAGTTTTGCTTGTTGAGAAAAGTTTTAACGCACATTTTAACCATGGAAAACCCAAATCAGTTTGCCTTTGACCTGGCATCAGGAGGAGGAAGGTGTTAATTACCACGTCGCCACTAGGTTATGAACTGGCGTTAACATCTCAGCAGGAGCAGAGCTGGCACAATAGAGACTCTGAGAAGAGGCGAAGGAAAGCATTGCATACAGATTTATTTTCCGTTACAAAACCTCATGCTTTTTATTTTAGTGATACTGAACAAATGTAATTTTTAAAGGACATTCCTCTATTCATAGCATAATTACCTTGCCATCTTTATTATCTGCATAATTAAAACATAAATACTTCACTTCTCTGTGTAGCAATTCAATGAAAGTACTTGGTTACTATGTTAATTCATCTTTTAAATTTATTATGGCCACGCTGCAGTCAGCACTTTTGAGGGTTAGTGAACACAGCTGGATTTTGAGAGCACTATCAGCAGGGCTGAGAAACGAATTGCCCATAGTATTTAAATTATTTTTTTAAATCTCTCCAATAATTGCATATACACCATTTTGTTTTGTTTTAATGCAACAATCACATACTCCAAACTGTCTTTTCAAATTAATTCTTTTGGCCGATTTTCCTGATAGAATCCGCACTCAGGGTGTTCTGTTTAGAAAGTTGATTTAGAGCCATCAGGGAAGTCTTACTTATAAATCTAAGCATTTTAGGTCAGATACTGAAAAATTTTCAGACTTTGTTTATTCAGAAAAACTAATAAGGACTACATATATTTTTAAACATTTTAGAAGCCACATATTTGAAATTTAAATATTAATCACAGCTTTTTAGTGAAACCGTTATGGGCTGCCTGAATTCTAATTTTAAATGAAAGGAGCAAAGGATTAAAATGATAGGATTACAGGACATAGCTCATGATTGGTTTAAAATGAGTAAACAGAAGTGTTAGTAATTTAGCCAGATAGCTCAGCGTACATCCAAGTATCAGATGAAAAAAGGCCAAAATATTTGCAAATATGGTGGCATTGAAATGTGATACTGCTCCTGTGAAAAGGGTGATTTAAAAGTTATTGTTGAAATAAGATAAATCATACATTAACTTTTAAATGAAAACCTAGTTGCAATCATTCCTGAAAGTATTTCTGAAAAGCACAATTAATTAAAATATGTATAAGTAATAAATTATTTCCACACGTAGATGTTATAACCTCAATTGGTATCAGCATTTTTGCAGATTTTTATTTTAACAGAATATTATTCTCTTATATGTCAGCATCCTAATAGCATATATCACACATTCTTCTATTTTAATCATGTAAATTGACTTTATAAAAATTAATTAAAGGAGAATCAAACCCATGATAAAATTTAATGAAGGAACTGTAAATAGATTAGCAAGGAATTATTTGTAAGCTGTTTCTTTTCAAAATGGTCTCTGGTACTTCTTATGACATTAAAACTGAATTTGGTTTAATATATATTTTCTAGTACATGTTTTTTAATAGATAGCAACTTATTTAGAATTAACTATAGAACACAAAACAAAAAATTAGGTATTAATGTTCTAATTTAGTTGAATAATATATTTGCTTTAGTATAGTAATGAGATTGTCATTTATTTAAAAAATAAAATGAAATAAAGAAAAAAACATTAGGGAATGTACTTAGAGTTGTAACTTTACTTGTTTTCAAATAAAGAAAACTATGCTAATGTATGTTTACATTATGTTTATGGTAAGTTAGCAATTTAATTAGTTTAATTTTTGCTATGTCACCATGTATTGTAACTTAAGGTAAAAGATGATTACAACTTTTATATAAGCTTATAAATTCCTTATGACTTAGAATCATAGTTTATTACTCATTTTTACTTTCTCCAGCTCATTGGTTTGTACATCTTAGTTATTCTTCAAATATTGGGTTTGTATTTAAAATAAACATCAAATAAACAGGTGTTTGTCCTTAGAAGATAGCATATGTGAACACAGCACCATGCCAGGCATACAATTGATGTTAAATAAGTTCTTGCTAAATCTAAAACTTGCCTCTTTCTTATTATAGAATCCCCTTTGCCGTAGTATTGATATCATATAAGGGAATAGAAAATAGAGCAATCAATATCCCTGCACCATTTAGCGTAACCACTGTGTTCTAAAGGTTAAATGGAGATTTGTGTGTGAGTGTGTAGTTTAGACTCTCTGACTAAAGCTAGCAAATAGTTTGAATTCCTATCATATTTTGGACAGTTTTTGCAGCAAAATTCTGATTTTTTTCTTTTGTTTTTATGAAAGCTGAAAACAGGAAATTTTTTCATGAGCAAGAGGTTGAAAAATGCCTTGTAACCCTTTTGGGCTCTGAAAGCGATGGAACTAAAATTGCTGCTTCCCAGGCTATTTCAGTAATGTGTGAGAGTTCAGGCAGCAAAGAATTTTTCAATCATCAAGGTAAGCAAACTGGAAAAAGTCATTTTGTGCATTTTCAGGTGACCATAGTCTAGTTGAGGTGGACATTGGTGAAGTTACATTTTACCTTTCTTTTTTTGTAGGGATTCCACAGTTAGTTCAGTTGCTGAAAAGTGACAATGAAGAGGTAAGGGAAGCTGCAGCCCTGGCCCTGGCTAACCTGACCACTTGCAATCCCGCTAATGCAAAGTAAGTAAGAAACGACTCACTCAGCACTGCCTTGTTTGGGAAATCTAATTAAAATGTTCATTTTAATATTTTGGCCCTCAAGGAAGTTTACATATTCATCCAGGTGATCTATCTTGGGATAAAACTCTTAGGAAACCTTCAGAAACTCTTATGAAAATAAGTAATCAGATAGGCAGGTTTTCCAAAGATACAGTCATGCCCACATAAGGACTTTTCAATGACTCACCACATATATAATGTCAGTCTCCAAAGATTATAATGGTGCTGAAAAATTCCTATTTCGTAGTGATGTCATAGCCATCATAAAGCTATAGGGTAACACATTACTCACATGTTTGTGGCGATGCCAGTCATATAAAAGTACTGTATACCGTATTTTTATTGTACTTTTTCTATGTTTAGATATACAAATATTTACCACTTAGATACACAAATATTTACAATTGGTTACAGTATTCAGTACAATAACATGCTGTACAGTTTTATAGCCTAAGAGCAGCAATAAGCTACACCATATAGTCTAGCTGTGTAGTAGGCTATACCATCCAGGTTTGTGTAAGTACATTCTATGATGTTTATACAATGACACAATCACCTAACAACACATTCCTCAGAATGTATCCCCGTTGTTAAGTGACATATGGCAGCTATAAAATCTTGACTATTTCTGGGCATGTTTGGAAAAATGTGCAGGCCATTTGATTCAGGTAATGGGTTAACTCTTGTGGAAGGTTTCAGTACAAATAAAATTAAAATCTTTAATGATGGAAATCTTAAAGATAACATATAACAACATTTGATAAATTTAGAAAAAACTTAAAAGACCCATTTTAAATGGACATAAACATTAGATAAATCTAGAAACATTTAAAAAGTCAATTTAAAGCAACGTACTATGGGTAAATACTATGAAGAAAGGTTGGAAAGGAGTGCCCCCTGTATTCCAAGCACTGTGGTATGTGACTTAATTCACTGAAAAATGTAACTATCAAGATAACCTATCAACTAATGAAGAAACTGAGGCTCTGCAAGGTTACCTAATTTTCCTGGGTATAAATATTTATTAAAATAGCTGAGCTGGAAATTAAATCAAGGTCTGTTGGACTCCAAAGTCTGTGTTCTTTCCTAGACAGAAGATAAGATTGCCTTATAAAACAGCAAGAATTTCATGAAGGTGACTTTTGTAATTAAAAAAAATTATTTATCCTACATAGATCTCAATTGGCCCATGTATTAGTCAGGGTTCTCTAGAGAAGCAGAACCAATAGGAAGAAAGAAAGAAAGATGGTAGATGATAGATAACTGATAGATGATTGATAGATGATAGATAGATAGATAGATATAGATAGATAGATAGATAGATAGATAGATAGATAGATAGATAGATAGATGATAGATAGATAGATGGATAGATAGATAGATGATAGATTAGATAGGTGGGTAGATTAGATAGATAGATGATAGAAAGATTAGATAGATGATAGATAGATGATAGATAGATAGATAGATAGATAATAGATATTTTATATATTGGAATTGGCTCATTTGATTGAGAAGGCTCAGAAGGCCCACGATCTACACTCTGCAATCTGGTGACCAAAGAAAGATGGTTGGGTCATTCAGCCCAAGTCTGAAGGCCTGAGAACTAAGGGAGTCTTCTATTCATACTTTTCATTCTTTATTATCTGCATAATAAAGGTAACTTAAAAATGATAAAAATGTGAAAAGGTAATGAATAAGTATAAAAATAACTATTCAAAGACATAGGAAAACAGGATAAGAGCAACCAGATTCACTTATTTAAAGTAATAGAAGGAAAATGAAAAGTAAAATTATTTTTAAGTTAATAAATAAAAAGTGAGGTTAAAACAACCCCCATATAAAAAAATAGATAAAAATAAAAATGGGAACCAAGAGCAATAATGAATTTTATAATAAAAATGTAATCCATTTAGTTAGTATGGACACTATTATCTATCCTTTCTTGATTCACTGCTAGTCTTACTGACAATTCTCAATTTGTAATACTTTTTAGGAGGGAAAAAATTCATTTTTAAAAGAAATGTTATTTTTCAGCCTAATTTTATGTTCTATTTACCTGTACTCTCCTATCCAATTTTTCATATCAAAGTTTTACAATATTTATGCAAGTACTGAGAATTATTCTTGGTTGACATTCTTCTGAGGGGCAGATCCAACATATTATAAGAAAAATTTAAACTATTAATTTATAACATCACTGCCATCTGTTGGATCTGATCAGAATGAGAGTTTTTAAGTTACCACAAGAATGAAAAGGGGCAAGTGTCTTTCATTGCCCTTTGCCAACACTAACTAAATTTTGGCTGTTGGTAAACTATGAAAAGATTACAAAATATTATGATTATCAACTAGACGTTTTTCAAAAGATACAATTATTGTAGGAAATAAAACAAGGAATAAAATAAAAATATAAAAAGTAATAACCATAATTATTTTAATGCCCATAGATAAATCAGAACTGCAGCTTTGCCATAGAAACTAATCAAGTCTGGTATTTACACATAGATCATACTCTGATTCTTGGTCCCTATTCCATATTATCTCCGTGAAAAATTGGATGAGTTCCTGAAATCTTAGAGACTCCTTTTATCTCAGTTTCCTTGCTTTTTATTTTTTATACCCCTTCTTGACTTCTCATAACAGCACTGACTCAATACAGTTCTGATGGCAGCATATATAGTGGTTACTTAAAAAAAATTTGATTGATTGCTGGGCCACTGCTGGCCTCCACAACAGCAAAGACAAAGAGCTTCTCTCTAGGGACTGGCCTGCTACTGAGTGATGTAAGGTCAGGACCACAACAAAGGAAGTGAGGAGTGCACCCCAAAAGGACCCCACAAAGAGTCAGAATGCCCCAAAACTATATGGATCTGCGTTTGGGAGGCTTGGGAACTCATTATAAAAATAAAGCACTAACTAAAAAATTTTAATACCTACTAGAATTATTCATGGAGTACCATGCCTAAGCAAGCCATGCAATTTGTAGAAAAAATATTTATAAGGTATGTTGCATAGAGGACTTCCTTCATACAGTGAGTACTTCAAGAAAAGGCAGTACTTCATTTATTCACAGTGACCTAAACCCTCTAAGACATTTCAGTATTGTCAGGGAAGGGCCCGACTTTAAGTGCCTTCTTGGAGTGTTAAATCTCTCTCGTGTGTACAGAAAGCACTTTTCAAGGCTTTTGTGTTTGTTTGTGTTTCATCTCCACCCCATGAAATAGAATTGGGGGAGGGATATAGATTTATTTTTAACTGTTTCTTTTCATTTCTTTCATTCTGTAGATTTAAGTATAGACTAATGCTCTTCCTTAGAATTGCTTATATTTTATTGTGCATTTAATAAGGCTGTTGTGCAGTGAATTGACAGTCATTTTGAAGGGAAAACCCCACCTCTCTTAAAGTTAACAAAATACCACAATTTTACTCCCCCCTCCCCGCCCTTTCTCTAGAGGAAGAGACGGGATATCTACCTTTGAGATGGCTAGAGAGGTGTATTATCACCCTTTGAAAATAAATTTGAACGCCTGTTCCAGATCATACGCCTGGGCCAATAAGCACATACACACGTAGCCTTAAGTAATCTTGTCACTTAGGATGCTTTTTTTATTAAAGAAACATTGACCACAGAAATGACCCACGGTGATTTACAAAATTAAAATGCCAGTCTTATGAAAAACGCAAGCTCCTGTTACAGACTTGATGTATCAGCCGGACTTAGTGCTACAGTCGTGCAGTTATTGTCTTTGTTGCGCAGGGTTTTCCCCGGGAGGCGTCTTCCGCTCCGCTCTCCCTCCTCGCAGGGAAGGGACCTGCGTCTTCATACTGACCCCTAGTGGCGGCTTGGGAGGCAGTTGGGGGAGGGGCGGAAAAGGTGGCGGGAGAATTGCTCTGTATTTCAGCGAACCCCACCCTAATTTTATTTGAAACATTCTAAAATAATACTTTAAACATTATTGAAAGATAGTGATCGGGAAAGCATTTAATTGTGAAGCTTATAAAGAGAGAATATTCTGCTGCTGAACGTGTTAATAGATATTTGGGTTTGTCTTTGTACTTTTTTAAGAAGCAGTCACTTCAAAATGTGTTGACACGTTCATTGTTCTGGCGGCTGAATATCTGCTGCGCTCTATGACCATATAGAATAAATATAACAAGCTTGAAAATATACATTAGTCGTATTGTTACTGTAGTTATTCTAGGGCTGATTTTTCGCTCTTGACTTTGTATAAGAAAGATGATTTTGTTTTAATATTCTTATTTATATTGCTCTGCTGAAGGATGCTTCGTTCTTTGAATTAGAATTCTTACAATATGGGCACCCTGCAAAATAACTTGTGCTCGTTTCAAAATATTTCAGGAAGTTCAGGTTCACATTAAGGGTGTTTCAAACTTTTGTGTTAAGGATGATTCCTCAACAAGCTTACACAAAATGTCACTTACTACTTTAAAGGGCTTCTGAAAGGAACACGTAAAATAGATAGGCACAGTCATCATGGTAAACTTAAGAATTATTTCGGCATTGTTTTTATCCAAGTTTACTGAATGGATACTTTTCCTTCTCTGCCTGATGGAAGGTTGTTATAACATAAGATATTCTGGACTGAGAAAATTATTTCAGATTTGAAGGAATATATAGAATGAAAAACGGGATTTTGCAATAAAACCAGTTGACTCCACATCCCCATTTTGTGTCAGTTGATGCCAACTTGACCTTCACAGTTTGAACTTTAGTAGCTACCTGTTTTGTGAGGGTAGGTGAACCCATGAAATGTTCAATTAGAAAATTATCCATGTGCTTTTACTACCTAGAGAGCAAAGGCTGACATTTGTCTAATGCTATTTTAAAATTGCTGGTACCTCTTTTAGGTTTAATTCCCAGTGTTACTTATTTTCAGAGGAAATGATTGGTTTGCCTATCTTTATATTTTGTGAATATTCTCTCTCTCAATTTGAAG